GAAATACTCCTAGTCGCTTCATGCTACAGAAACCGGGATAAGCTCCGGACTGATGGGCCACTTGGCTCGTGTGCAGACTTTACCTACGCGTTTTTATAATTTGTTACTCAGAATGATCCCTATTTGTCTTTCTAATTTCACCAGCACTTACAGGGCAACATTAAGCCTCAAGTTTACTCAACCCCGAGGGTAGTTCTGAAAATAACTGTTGTTGATGACTGACGTTTCGACAACCTGTGCGGAAGTCTTCTTCAGAGTCAAGTGAATAATTTTTGTTAGTCAATGGTGTTTTAAGTCTGGTCCGTACAAACTACAGTACGAACTACTGATACTGATACTCCTAGATTTAAACCATTCACTATCAACGCAATTTCTCTTCACAAACCTCTTTCCATGAACTTTGTGAATCATGTCTCCATCATAGTAATACCGCAGTGCTCGGCTCAGCTTTTCGTAGTTCATGGCTGGTTTGTTTTTTCGTCTACCCCACTGCGCGGCTACTTGCTCGGGATCGTTCAGTTTGAACTCGCCATTCTCGCCCACCCACATGATAAGATGCCGACTGCCTCTGTCTGTTAGCAGCTCCAGCAGGAACTGCCACAACTGAATCTGGCCGTTGTTGCCTGGCAGACAAAACATTGCATTATTACAACTACAGTTTGTTAACAATTTGTTAATAAGAAGCTATCCTACCCAATAAAAGCATATCAACATTGCCTTTAACGTTGGTCTGGACTAGTGAACTAATTATAGGACAAGTCTGAAACAGGGTATTGTTTTAGGGGTCAGAGGTCTTAAATAGGGTAAGGAAAATGACTACGAAGCCAAATGGCTACGAAGAAAATGGCGAGGAAGCGCATCGCTGATGTGCCCACAAAGCGACTCAAAAAGGTACGAAAAGGTACGATTGGTCCAAAGATAGCGAGAAAATTAGGTTGCGAGAAAGAGAGGGTATTGCATGGCCGCGCGGAGAAACGAAATTTCTCTTCGATTGTTGGAAAATATTTCACGAGTGAACGCAGTGAACGAGTGAAATATTTTCAACACGAACCTCCATTTGGCGCGAAAGTATGCTGGGATATTTGCCCTTCGATCCTTGGACTACTTCTGTTCCTCAAAGCTATAAGCCATTACAAGCCTGGTGGTTTCTTTTGGAGCTCTCCTCGCCGCTTTTGAGTATTGTCAATATCTTTTGCTATTACTTACGTGGCAAACAAATGATGATGATGAAGCTCACAGTTTCCCTCGAGCTACGCTCTCGGAAAACTGTTCGCTTCTCGGAACAGATAAAGTCCGCGGACAAATATCCGAGCATATTTCCGCGCCAAATGGAGGCTATTGTTTATATGTGGGATAGGGTTTTTATTGATTAGCTAACACTCGGTATACCACTCAATCTTATATATAGTAAACCGATTTATCTCTCGCGAACTGTTAATGTTAGTCGCAGGTCGGTACCACACTCATTGCAACACCTCTTGAAACATAACTTGGCAAGCGATAGTTTTGACCAATGGGGAGCTGAATACCTGATCTGTTTCCTGGACAAGCCTTTCCGTCAATACTTTTTGTTTTATCTTCATCGTCACCACTAACAGCATCTACAACAAGCAAGTTAATTTCAATGCATTTGCGAATTCTGTTGTGTAAAGCAAATCTCTTTGGTAAAGTGGTTCCTAGAAATGATGAGATTTAAAAATCCTAGCCAGGCAACGGAGAGATTCACTCTCCAAGTCAAAGTGAAGAAGGGAAGAAGAGACTTAGCAGGGCTGTGAAGTAGAGAAAGTTGAGTGTGAATAGAAGATTGCCATTTTCTTTAAGCTGCTCTGACTGGATCAAGTTCTACTTGAAAATTACAATCACGGACTAAAGTCTTGCACTTCTGGCACTTTTGCACACAGACCTGACGCGAATACAACTTCACCTGCCAAGCCTCTCCCCCCACCCCACATACAAAGTTGAAAACTACTGTAGTACCTGCAATTTCTCCTGAGTTTCAACATTCTATTGGGCGGGGAGGGAGTTACAGCAACACGTTTTTAATGGCTAGCAGTGTTTTGTCAAACTTCATTTGTAAAACATAGATAATTCGTTGCGTTACAGCAGTGTCCCAAGGACTTTTATCCATGATTGCTGATTACTCGCTCTCGATTTCTATGAGGTGACACTTAATTCGGCCTTCGGCCTGGTCAACAATCACCTCATAGAAAATCTCGAGCTCATAATCTATCTGTTAATTATACTTTACTTGCAACAGTACGGTTTTCTTACCAGCTGATGGTGATTTGACTTCTCCAGGGCTGTTCTGCGGTGATGCATGAATAATTAATGCAGGGCTATCGGAGGGAATGCCTGCTAAGCCTGAAAGTGTTTATGATACATATTAATACTGCATGCAATTATAAAAAAATTAAACCCATGAGCAACCAATACAATTCATATGCTCGTCTGTACAACTGCACATTGGGTGCATCATTTTGGTGTAAACTACAAAGAGTTGCTCATCCCTCCCCCCCAACTAAATAAATAGTCAGATAGATGTACATGTACATAAAGCAGTTTTCATTGATAAGATCATCAAATAAAAGATACATAAATCATGCATTCAACTTCGTTGATTTCTTTTTAGAAAAAGATCATAGAAACATTTTCATAGCCATTATACATACATGTATGATGATCACAATCTGAAATAACATTAAAATTCCTGACAAAATTTTCTGAATTGTTACTATCTAATATTCATTGAAGACACGAACAAGGTGCTAAAAATGGCCACAAACATTTCTTTTACATCAAGAAGTTATTTAACTTAAAAATGAATTACGGTATGAGGGTCAGCGTTCACTTTATTCTCGAGGGTTGCTCTCAAGAGTCGATAAAATCACGGTAAAACTGAACAATAAGTTTCAGTGACCAAAGACAAAACCAATGTTTGTTGAACAAATTCCATTTAACTTGGTGGACAATGTCTGCTCACGCTGTTCAACCGTCAGATATCTACAATAGTCCCTTACTAGACAATTTGCACCCTCTCCCAGGCAATCACACCAGAAGAACATCTTTTCACAAATAAAAATAACCTGTCTGCAAGGTTACCTTTTAAAGAGAATGATGTCTGTGCTGGATTGAGATCTATCATTGCAGATTCGTCTTTAGTGGCAGAATTTTCCAAACCTAAAGGATTGAATCAGTAGCAGAAAGAAGCTTGTACACTGCTGTTACTGCAGTTACTGCAGCATGTCACTGCTATAATGCTAATAGCGACTAACGGTGTGACGACATTAAATTACAATCGAAACTCCACTCGCGGCCAGCTCTCTGCAATGGCCACTTTTTAGTACTGGCGGACAGTCCATACATTCACTCTTATTTTAACCTCTCTGAAACGGCCACCTCTCCACAGTGGAAACAGCCACTAACACTGGTCCCAACTGCCAGAATAACGTCTCAACAACAGCCAGTTAATCAACGACTGATGAACAGTGTATACAAAACCCCACTTTTTAAATGTAAAACTTAAAAGGTCACCAAACCTGATCTGTACCACGCGCCGTTGGTCTCTGTTTCTGATAAGTTTCTGTGTTATTGATACATTTTGATTTATATGTGCATAAATAAGCACTTTTTGAAAAAGATGTTGCCCCCTCAAACAAAAAAAACAACAAAAAAAAAACAGTTGTCATAGTACACACCGACCTCCCAATGACGGCCTCCTCTGTACAATGTCCACTTTTCTCTGTCCATAAGGTGGCCATTGTGGAGAGGTTCGACTGTACACTGTTTTGTATTAGCCCCATGGCTGAAGATTCTTTACCGTAATAATTCGATTTAGCACCCCTCATCCAACAAGCACACCCATCCTAATTTAAATACTAAGCACTCCCTCATGTGACATTTTTCTTTTTCCTTATTTTTACAGCAATTAGAGCCCCCCTTCCAATAATACTGTAGAAGAGACTGATTACACCAGTCAACTATGTAGTACTTCTACATGTAGTTTGTCATCGGATTGTAATAATGAACATATGGAAAAAAATAAAAAGAGGGAGGGAGGGAGAAAAAACAACAACAAACAAACAGATTGAAAAAACAAAATGAGGTCCCTTGAACCCTGAAACTATTCCTGTGATCTATAACTGATCTTTTTGAAGCCTGAAATGACTATTCTTTGCAGTTGAGAACTGGAGCCTAAAAGTGGCAATTAATTCAAGAAGCTAATATTTCCATCCTACATTATACAGTGTGTTTTGGGCCCGGGTTCCTGAAGTCATACCTTTAATGAAGCATGTCATGACAAAACAAAATACTTACCATTCTTTATGACTGAAATTTGTTGTCCTTGCATATTGCCTAAAACAGAAAAAAAAGTACTGCTGTAAATACAAGTACCTGTCATGCACACACATTCTAATTCAATGTCTATTAAGCTACATTGATATTTACTTTTGTGCCGTAATCATGGCATAGAAGAGTTCACTACTGGATTACACTGTATACAGGTCTGACAACTATTTTCTCCAGTGACATTAGCTGTGTTAGATACATGTATACAAGACTCTAAGGCTTTGAAAGGTGTCTGATGATCACCAGAGATTAACATTGTGAGACATTCTGGTGATTTTGAATGTTTGGAATCCAAAACTAAAAATACATGTACAACTCCTGATAACCAGGAATTTCCTCAGCAACAAGCTACAAGACTGAACTTTCCTTGAGAAGGAGGAGGAGGTGGTACAGTGTACATGTATACAGTATACATGTATGTATACTTTCCTACAGGATTATTTACAACTACTCTGGCTGCTCACTTTCAGAATTAGCACAGCTGATAACTGGCACCTGTTGCGATGCTGTGGAGGGTGATTGAACAGGTTTAGCATTCCCTGAAAATGAAGTCACATTTATTCACTATTAAAGAAATAGAACACATTTTCTGTGTTTCTACCAAGTTTAAGTATAAATCTTCTGGTGTTTCAACCCAAATGCCATTCTCTGATTGGCTATGGTTTTCACTATCTATTCTGTTGTCACAGATAGTCAGTAGCGTAGCAGTGTGCAGTTGTGAACAAAATGACAGCCGCTTCTTTGTGTTTTCAAGGTGGCTGTGAAGGGGAATAAGANGGAGAAAAAAACAACAAACAACCAGACAGATTGAAAAAACAAAATGGGGTCCCTTCATCCCTGAAACTATTCCTGTGATCTAAGCTGATCTTTTTGAAGCCTGAAATGACTATTCTTTGCAGTTGAGAACTGGAGCCTAAAAGTGGCAATTAATTCAAGAAGCAAATATTTCCATCCTACATTGTACAGTGCATTTTGGGCCTGGCTTCCTGAAGTCATACCTTTAATTAAGCATGTCATGGCAAAACAAAATACTTACCATTCTTTATACCTGAAATTTGTTGTCCTTGCATATTGTCTAAAACAGAAACAAGGTACTGCTGTAAATGCATGTACCTGTAGTGCACACACATTATAATTCAATGTCTGAGCTACATTCATTTGATGTTTACTTTTGTGCTGTAATCATGGCATAGAACAGTTCAAAACTAAATTACACTGTATATACAGGTCTGACAACTTTTTTTCTACGGTGTTCATTACATGTAGCTCGGTGAGATACATCTATACAAGACTCTAAGGCTTTGAAAGGTGTCTGATGATTACCAGAGATCAATGTTGTGAGACATTCTGGTGATTTTGAATGTTTGGAATCCAAAACTAAAAATACATGTACAACTCCTGATAACCAGGAATTTCCTCAGCAACAAGCTATAAGACTGAACTTTCCTTGAGGAGGGGGTAGTATATGTATACTTTCCTGCAGGATTATTATTTTACAACTAGAATAAAACACTGTGGCTGCTCACTTTCAGAATTGGCACAGCTGACAACTGGCACCTGCTGTGATGCTGTGGAGGGTGATTGAACAGGCTTAGCATTGCCTGAAAATGTAGTCACATTTGTTCACTATTAAAGAAATAGAAAACATTTTCTGTGTTTCTACCAAGTTTTAGTATAAATCCACTGGTGTGCTAACACGAATGCATTCTCTGATTGGCTATGGTTTTCACTATCTATTGTTGTCACAGATAATGAGTAGTGTAGCAGTGTGCAGTTGTGAACAAAATGACGGCTGCCTCTTCGCATTTTCAAGGTGTCTGTGAAGAGGATTAAGATAAAGTTTTGAACGAGTAGTACATTTATACTGAAAAGAGGTAGTTGACTTATATTAGTTGATTTATATTAAAACAAGATAGTTGACAAGGGTGCAGATAAAATCTCAAGCTTACATCTAATTTGTTAAATAGAAAAACGAGTGGAAGTTTGAGAGAACCAGAAAAATAATACAGTGGAAGCAAGAGCCACAGGTGAGTTCACCCAAACTTGACTCAAATGTCACAGGGAAAAAGCAGGGAGGGGGGGCGAGGGGCTGGCAGCTACCTCTGATCTTGTCGCTTTTCTAGTTTCTATGATCGCCCCAGTAAAGAAATCTGTCAATCATTTGAGAACCATAACGAGCATGCGCATAATGTGAAAATAACGCGAGAAAACTGAAACATGTTTCGTCGCCATTTTTGTTCAGGATTTGCCTTCGATTTGATAAATTTGTATTGGCTGTTAGCAATTTTTAACAACAGCTCTGAAACAATCAGGACTAAGGGAATGAAGGACCAGCTTTGTGCTATTTTCCTGGCAAGCGTGGTGGCATTCTTGGTTGCCTGGAGAGGTTTCCCCGTCTCAGGAAAAAAACAAAACTGAAGTTTTCACTTTGCTGTGGAAATTTCAAGGTTCATTACCTTCCATCTTCACACTGACAAATTCTTCTTCTCTAATGTCTACGGAAAATAGCGATGTCAAACTGTTTTATATCCACCATTTTATATCGCAAAGCCTCCGAGTGTAAGTCTTTAAAATATTTCTCGACTGTTCAGAGTTGTACATTTAAACTTGAGCTTACATTACACAGGGTTTTCTGTCTAAAGTTTTTCCGTCTTAACTTACTTTCTTATGAACGACTGCATTTACTTTATGATTTTCCTGTGATGTTGAGTCTGAAGACTTTCTTTCAAGTAATTTAAATCCTGAAACTTGAAGGCAGTTGCAGATCAGTCAACAACATTGAAAATAGCTACCAGTTTGCATGTCTTGATAATACAGTGATAAATTATAGAGGTTTTGAAACCTCCATCCCTTACTGTTCAGTACCAATGTGAACTCGCAAATGCTTCTGTATATGAAAATGTCCAAAATGGACTATTTGCTAGGCACAGACTCAATGTGAACCTTTAATAGGTTGAGGTATTTCATTTACAAGTTATTGATCCACAAAAATAAAGAAAGCAGTTTCTGCTCAGATGCTTTGGCATAATTTGTACTGGTGATAAGCATGAGTTTTATTTGTGTGGTGGGAGAAGGCTCTGTAATACTTCTGGATATCAAAATATTTAGAGCTGTCATATATACTCATCTGCTGAGGGAGATAATTTATGAAATAGACCCAGGGAAGGCAAATGAGCTATGTTACCTGTAGTCGAGTGCTAGTAATGAGGTAGCCAGGTAAAATGGTCATTCATCCAGACAACTAACTTTAACTTGGGCAAAACTGAGTCAACAGAACCTCCACAACATTTGAAATACGCCAATTTTGAGACTTGGCTTTAAAGCTTTTGAGAATAACAAGAAAAGACATCAAGCGCAGGGATCGGTAACAGTCATTTAGCCCCCCAAGTCTATTAGCCCTTAACCATTTAAACCCCAACAAGAAGTCGATTAGCCCCCAACCAGAAATAAAAAAAACCCTGTATATTCCTCGTTCTTCTTCAACTTGTGGTTGGGGGCTAACTGGCTAATGGCTAATCAAATGAGCGGTAACCAAAGGATCAGGTTTGTTTTATTCCTCTAAGGCAATAATATTAGAGATGAGTAAGGACGTTAATATATCAAATTTGGCCTAAAGTGTTGATTATCAGTGGCTTGTTCCTGTAATGGAAGGATAGCTAAATAAGACAATAAGGAAGACTAATATAAAGTCAGATGAATGAAGTTTTTAATTAGTACTTTTCTCAAATGGCAATTCTTAGTGCAAGAGAGGAGCATGAACCCTTTGAAAACTGATTGAGACATGGCAAAAAAAAATTAGCGCCAGGGAAAGGGCTAAAGAAAGAGAAACAAAATGAGGTGGTAAAGTCAAACTTCTTGTACACTCTCCATCTCAACGGCTTGATTGGACCCATTATTTAAGCCGTTAAGTCAAGAATATCAAAACTAAAGTCTAAGGATGATCATGAAGAAACAAAAACAATCAACGACACAACTATTGTGTTGTAACCAAAGAGATGGTGATGAATTCTCAATTCTGCTGAGGGACCTATCCAGTATTCACTTTCATAAATAATGCCAGATGCTTTGCCTGAAACTGAAACAGACCTCTTGTAGTAACATAACAGAAAAGCGCCGTACCCACTGCACTCACTATGAAACCTGCTTTAACCCTGTCGGTTAAATGCAAACAAAAAAGGTCACGAAGCTGTTAAGCTGTTCAAAAAAGAAACCCTTACCATCAGGACACCGCTTAGGCTACAAAAAATGCTCGAATGAAATATTAAATTCATGCCTGCAATCTGGCTCACACTGTGGAGTTCCCGCTCGCACGTTTACATCGGAACATTTACATGTATCCCCAATGCCTCGATCAAAATGTCCCAGATTTAGACGTAGGGCAACTGGAACTTTTTCTTAGATGTTTGAACGTGAAATATGCACGACGTTTACAAAACTTTACAAATGCCTCCCGCTCAAGGAAGTCCGCCATGTTTGCTTTCCACAAACCAGTACTTAGTCTCANAGGAGTCTCAAGTGGAAGTTTGTGTAGCTTTTTTTGAGTTCACCCAAACTTGACTCTAATGTCACAGGGAAAAAGTTTTCTATTTCTCTTAGAAATAGATTGAAAGATTTATTATTCTACTTCTCTTTACTTGTGCACTGAACATTCCACATATTGAACAATTAAGTGAATCATTGGTCTGGATAAATGAATGCAATTCAAGAGGTTTCACTGGCTTACGCATCAGGGTACAGTGTATGTGAGCCATTATACCATGCTCTACAAATATGATGAACATACACAATCTTTGGGGTGTTTTTATTTTCATTTGTTGGATATGAGATGGTTATAGCCAACTCAGACTATGCGTCTTGTTGGCTAATTGTATCATCTCATATCCAACGTGGACTTGAGGATTAATTGTCATTTTCATTCGAGGCATTTTTTCGTTTGTTTTCATTGGCTGAGAGCCCACCATGTGACTTGCAAATAAATGCCTACAAATAATAGTCTGCTCATGCGCAGTACTGTCGAAATGTGTAATGATAATATTACATGTATGTTGCTCATGTGTAATTGAAACCATGCTCTTGTGTGAAAAATGGCAGATTGCTTCCCTGAGCTGTCAGAGAATGATTTAAATATGAAAACAAACTTGGTGCTCGAATGATAAAACAATTATTGAACTCGGTTATAACATGACTTGACAGTGATTTGTCAGTGTCTCGTGTATCACAATATTTTGCTCAACCTTGTCCAATAATTGTTTCATACTGATCAATATGCACTGCTCATCCATTATACTGTAGATCTATCTGTGTAATACACTCACTGTGTGTGTAATTTCTGAGTAAAATTACAAAATGTACCTTTTCCTGGTGCAGAGCCAGAAGATCTTCTTCGTTTCTTTGGAGGTTCTTCAGCAACCACTGCTGGAAACACAGCTTGAATTTCAACACTGTTCATTTTCACTTCCGGTTCCACAACTGGAAGAGGAAGTATGTCAACTGCAGAGAACAGCAAAATGATCAACAAAGCTTTAAAATCCCTTCACAATTTATAAATGTTAGCTGTACAATTCGTAAAATAGCAGCTAGATCACCTTGCTTAAGTGTACAACTGTTCATGCATTTTACGCATTACTTAAACTTGTAAGGACACAAGATGAGCCAACTGCTGTAGAACAAGAAATTCACATGTAGAGACAAGCCTGTCAAAAGGTTTTCAGTGAATTTTGATCCCATGCAATGTATCATTATTTTCCTCTTTTTAATATAGTAAACACAAGGTGACCTTGAGAATTTTTTCTATGTGCTGTGTACCTCTCCCACCAATCCTTTTAATAACATGTAAGCTCTGCTCAATTAATAGTTTTGCATTCTGCTGCTGTCAATATACTTCTAAGCTGACCTCTCAGGAAACAGAGATTTACTTCAAACATGACTATTGGTAATGGTTGTGGTTGGTGGATTTCAAATCATTTTGTTTGTTTTATAAAGGTTTTGTTGACAGTTGCCATGGTAATTATGAGGAACGGCAGGCAAAAGCGCAATCATCAGTTTCATGAATTTCAGAGTTTGCATGTAGTTAGTGAAAGGTCCAGTAATCAAAAAAGATTCTCATGAAAGGAAAAATTCCCTCTTTATTGTAACTGTCCCACAATCGCAAATAAGACACACATGGCTTTAGGCCAAAACCACCTTCAGTTGGCAACTTTGATGATAATGAGAGAAATTGTGAAGGTGAATTAATCAACATGACACGAACGTGGGACAAAGAAAAATTCTGAGTCCCCGACAGGAATCGAGCCCATGATCTCCCGAACACCGGGCGGGCGCTCTATCCACTGAGCTACAAGAACTCATGGATAGCAAGGTCATTTAACTGAGTTCATGTATGATAGGTGTCCTGCATACTGCTAGGATCAACGCTATCAAATTCATCNTTAAGCTCGGTAATGAAATGTGAAGGTGAATTAATCAACATGACACGAGCATGGGACAAAGAAAAAAAAAATTTTTTTCTTTGTCCCACGCTCGTGTCATGTTGATTAATTCACCTTCACATTTCATTACCGAGCTTAAAATTCACCATCTTTATTAACTTATCAATGAGAGAAATTATCTGTCGTGAGTGAAGCCATTATCTTTCAAAATATGTGTTCAGTGCAAACCTTCAGAAGCAGTTTGAATACTGGTGATTTCTATTCTGAGGTTCTCCTCTGAGAAAAAAACAAACAAACTAGGTGAGTGAAGGTTCTATAATAATAAAAAGAACATTTATAATTATTAGACAAAATAATTATTGCAGGTTTACACCAATACATGTAGTTTTCATTAGTGTACATGCATTTTACTATTTTTTTTAAAGGTGTTATTAGTACTAACACATTTGTAATTTGCATCCTAACTAGCATATTAACTAGTATTTGAAAAGGGGAACTTGGAAGGGAATTGACCACTCAAAACATATTTACTGAGAACACTGATGAAACACTTTGTTGATAATCAACTTGACACTGACAATACATTTACACAGGTCAGTGACTTTTTCAGCTTCTTTGTCAAAGCAAAATCCGAACAAGTGACAAAATTCAAATTAATAATCAATTTCCGGGTAATGTTCCCTTCCGATCCTAGCGAACACGTACATGTGTGATGCATGCAATGTATAAGATAAACGGACGATTTCTTACAGTTCCTATTGATCAACACAAGGCCTTGAAATTTAAAACAAAAATTTTGCAACTTACCATTTAAAACTGCAAGCACAGTAAGCATCTGGTCCAGGTCTCCATTGCCAAGAGCTTGGTCTTTTAAAATGCTTTGAACAGTAGTAAGCTACAGTATATTAAAAAAAAATTCAAGAAAAATTATTCCAGCTATCTACGAGAAGAAAACAGTGTAATCCAAGTACATTGTATGCTGTACAGTGTATATGTACATGTACAGTGTATGTAGCTGCACACATCAAGGGAAAGTGGTCAAACAAGTTAGACCAACATGTACAATAACATACACCTGTGCAAATATTAATTTTAATTACCCTTTTACACAATGCTACAGGATGTACAGTACATGTACATATAACACTGGGTTTCTGAAATTTCACGTGGTCACGGAGCTGCGAATTTCAAGTAAGTCCGCAGAATCCTGCAAAATTCTCAAAACCACACAAAATACTGTAAAATTCACTAGAAATCTTATCAAATACATGTCGGTACAACAAATATGACCCTTATCTTTAACCCTTTAAGAGCCAATCATAGTACATTTTTGTACCCTGCGGGGTCATGCACTTTGTACCACTTGTGATGTCATCAATTTAGGCATCAACAGATATTCTTGATTGGCAGGTTATAGAGCTAGGATAGATCTATCTGCACAGCTGTCTATTTTGGATATCACCTGCATTCTGACATACATGCAGCTAATTGAAAAACAAAATGCGAGCATCTTTTGGTGCAAAATTGGTTGTAATATGGCCCATTTCACTTAAAATCAATCAAGGTTCAACACCAAACTTTTACAGCTGGCAGAAAGGATATGAAGAGCAAAAGCTAGCAAGAGTAAAGGGGACAAGAAAAAGGAAAGGCAAAGGCCAAGAAAAAAAAATTGGATCAGGCCAGCAAAAAAAAGTCCAAAAAAGTCCACTTTTTTGGCTTACAATGTATGTGCATGCTCTAAAGTAAATACATCAATTGTACATTTTGGTACCAAATCCTCAGGGAAATCTTCCTCCTTGGTAAGAAATTGCTTTTTCAACAAAGTTGAGGCCAATTCAGGGTCGCGGCAGCCAAAAACCAAGTTAATGGCAAAAAACAGCACTTTTTGAGTAAATCTGGCCGTTATTTTAAAGGTTAATAGTCGCGTGGCTTTTGGGGCTGTTTACTTGCCGTAAACTTGCAAATTTACCCTGGAACTTCACCATCCCAAATAATATACCAAAACTGAGCAGTGGCTATCAAAAAGCTTTGCCATTGGTGCATTTCTCAAGCGTACCGGTACTGTTGTTGAAACAGCAAATGAACATCTCCTCAAGGTTACCGTATACCTTCAGGGGTGTCTCGCGTCTGGGTTAAGCTGTAGATATCTAAACCCCTTTATCAAATTAAAGCTTATGGAACTGGCTACATGTATTAAACTATACCAAGAATTTTGAAATAAAATGAATTGCCGATTTTCTCATGACCACTAAATGCAATCGCCCTAATCACCTTTTGGAAGCTACAGTGTACAAGTCAAAGCAAATTTTGTTTCTCGCCAATTTATTTTTTTCCTCAGTTTCAGGACAAAAAGCGCTTAAAAAGTGTGTCTGTATTTTACCATATACAATTGCAGTAAAAAGTTACAGAACATATTTGAAACAGGATTTAAAAACATGTGGAATGATTGTACAAAAATCGCCATACAAGAGGAAATATTTTGAAATACACTGTAAACAATTTAAGCAGAGTGACACATTTTTGTTTTTTATATGTTAATCTAGCTACTGTCCAAATTTGAGGGCAATCAAAGAAATTCCCTTTGAGTAAGTGTCTGCTTCAAGCAAAAAAAATTATTTGTTTCTGTTGCTGCAGTTGTTGTTGCAAAGGCTCATCATTTCCCCCCCCAAAATAGTAAAATTGCCATCTTTTTTTCGTTGAAAACATTTTTCAGGTGAGATTTGCCCAGAAAATTCCCACAAAATTCTCGCAAAATTGGCAGTTTTTCCCGCAAAATTGGAGTCGGAACATCCTGGGAAATTTGATTTTTTTCAGCAAACTATCAGAAGTCTTGATTATTCCCCATTGTACGTGTACAGTAGGATATCTTGTAAATTCATAACACAATGGATAAATTTATATGTACTTGATTGAGTACTGTACATGTATGCTTTTGTTGGTTTGCAGGGCACTCTTACCACTTTACACTGTAACAAACTGTAAAATATTGGTTTAAAATCTGATTTCGTTACCTCAGTGCCATTGAACACAACCACATAACCAGTAAGCTGCCGGTCTAGTTTCTCTTCCGATAGCTTTTTAACATCTTCAGCAGAGCTTGAAGCACTACACTGCAATTGCAGAGTGACATTCCCCTGGGTACCACCCTCAGATGCCATATCATCACCAGATGCTGCCAAAAATCAGAAGATTAAACCTTGACAAAATCAAAAGAAAAGACACATTAGTTTGCAGAATAAAATAACTTTGAATCCATGTCTGAACTACATGTATTAAACAAAGCAAGTCTCAAGATCAGTGGATGCCCATTAAGTTTAAGGCAATTCTGCTGAAATAGAACCTGCACTGAGATTTTTGTGAAACTTTGCCTATCGATTGCTTATATTATAGGAACTTAAATTTTGAAATAAAAATGAGGGGTNCTTTTTGTTCTACACTGAGAATTAGTCCATATTTATTTTACACAGAGAAATTTATTACTCAATTCAAAACAACAGAAAAAATGATAGGTCACCATATTCGTTTGCGAGAAAGTGACTATTTACATCTATGGCAAGGTCCAGCTGTAAAGAAAAAGCCCCCATTTTTTAATGCATGCGCGCTAATCACGCGTGAAATTATATGCAGTAGGGATGTGCAATGCAATACTAGGGAATGACCTTAAGTACATTGTACATGTACATGTATATTACATGTACATGCATGCTTTACTGCATAACGTGTAATATACATTATGTAGTAGTCAATTCCTCTGGGCTAGGCATACATGTAAAAAAATATTATTATAATGCAAATGCTGCAATCTGATTGGCTTAGCCATTGCACATCACACACTGAGCCAACAGTGACTGGAGGTCATTTCCAGAGTGACTACGTTTCTTGTTACCTGAAGCATTAGAGGAGGATTTAGAAATAATACAGAATCAACTACATGTAGCCCAGGACTATCAGAAATGACTTTCTTTACGTGCTGCTTATATAAGCTATATGTACATTTGCAAATATTTTGAAGAAGACTCGATAGTACTTGTTAACAACATAATCAGATCTTAGATTTTTACATCAGATATTGAGCAGGAAAGGGGCGGGAGGCTATTTTAAAGAGTGTTTGTTTTGCAAAGAAGTCATTTTTAGTGCAAACTATTTTTTCACACACAAAATTTTTTTACAAGTGCCACCAAACTTCAAAGATGTCATCGACTAGCTTTGGAGGCAGTGATTTTTTTTGACAGGCAAGAAAATCCTTCATTTGTTTCTTGACATTGATCCTTCCTCAGGTCATTGTAATTGACATATTTTTCACCAAAGTTTTGTCTTAGAGCTAACAGGGCCTTATTATAAACGTAACTCTTGTGATTAAAGACTAGACTGGGAGGGAGCGGAGAGTAGAGAGTGACAAGGCCTTGATTCAAGAAATTATAGACTGGGATTGAGGGGAGAGAGTGACATTCCCATTGACTTTTTTTTACAAAGATGTAATTATTTCCTTGGACTATGGCTCAATGTGTCATGTTCTGTACAATAACATGGGATGAAAATATTGATCCAACAAAACAAAAGGTTGGGCGAGAGAGAGATTTTGACATATCATTTTATTATGAAACAAAAAACTGTTAACTCTATATTAAACATACAATGCTTGGTTATGAAAAATACAAGTAATTACTTTTTTCGGCATAATAAACACAATATTTCATTTAAACCAAGTTATGAAACTGAAAAAACAAAATGACCGAAAAAATTATATTACTTCCACATAAAGGCTTAATAAACAGTTGACACGTTCTCTGAACTGGAGCATGCTATAAGCTTACATGGTGTGGTATGCATACAAAAAAAAATACGGCTGGCATGTTTGATCACAGATTTTTGTATTGAGTTCAACAAGACAAATTATTGATGCAAAGACTGGAACGCAAAGGCGAGGACGGATTTTTGTGCCAATACTACAGAGTAATCGTAATTCGACAACAAATTTTCTTCTTTGGTCGAAAGCAACTCTAGAAGTATAAAGCTGATATGTAATTTTCGACAGTTAACATCGTGCATGAACTCACACGGGAGAAGATCACCAAAGAAATTGCTAACTCATGTTAATATACAGTGTAGTTTTAATGTACGTTTATGTTAGCTTTCCCTGGCCTACTCCGAAAAAAATCGCTAAAGTCGCGAAAAAAGCAACACTGTTGAAGTGTCATTCCAGTGAGTATGAAGATCAGACCAATGGAACAACATGTTTTCCCGCCATAGTAGGTTCGAACTTCGAAATTTTCAATCTGAACTTCTCCAGTCATTGTATTACAAAGTAAAATTAAAGTGGCAATTTGCAGCTCAAGTAAAACTTAAGTGAAACGACTGGATTTTTACGACACGAAAGAGAAAGGCTTACATGCTGAAAACAGAAAAACCTAGCCTGTTACAGTAATCAGTAAAAGATACTCTCAATACCTGCTACTTTATATATCAACTAACCGTGTCACCCCTACCACCTTTCCTGTTTACGTCGCGAACGCGTAGGATACACAACTTCCTTTGTTGTTCGAGGAGGCTTCAAAACCGCTGCAAAAGCACAACAAACCATCACAGACGAAGCAAGACATTGCCTCGTTGTACTTCTGTTCGCTGGATTGGCGTTTCAGTGTCAAAAACAGAACAGAAATCGGCGAAGAAGGCGATTTCCGCTCGACAAAATGAGACGCGTTGCCTCGCGATCTTACCTGACTCATCGAGTCTTCCGCCGGAAACACTTCTGCTGCCTCAAATTCTCCTCGAAATCGACCCTTCTCTTCGAACCAGACTGCACAGAATGAACTGCTCATATGACTAACGCGTGATTTCATATACAACAACAAACTAGTCGGTCACTTTTGTGAAGACTTCCTTCCCACGTAAAAAGTTTGAAGAGCAACGTGCTACACCTGGCCCTAAACTGGATGTGACGTCACACCAACTTCCTCTTTCAAATCAGCCTCGTTCCCAAAGAGAAATCTGGCAACGAGGCTGGTTTCAAGTCAGACTGACTTTCTCCCAGTACCCCGCAGTCATAAAAATTTTTATGCCTACAATATTTTTTCTAATAGCGGAAAACTGATGCCTAGCGGATGCCTGATAAAAACTCGAGCCTGTGCAATATTAATTTCGAGTCGGGGAGGGGAACTAGGAGGCTCGAATACCGGAGCGAATTTTTGAGTGTGATCGTGTGAGTGAAACCATTTATTTATTTTCCATATATACCTTTTTTTAATTTTATATTGTTTCTGTATTTATGTTTTCAAATGAACCGGTTGTCTTCTTTTCACCTCTTGGTGCTAATCGGCTTCCTGTGGCGGGGAGAGGGGGGTTCTTATGGGATGCTCGCCCCGCCCCGAGAATCATAACTCCTTCCATTTCTGACAGAAAAGCTTTCCTACATATCCATTCTAATACGCTTTAACCGGCCCCGACAAGTCCCGCAGAAATCGTTCCACTCACCTAAAAAATTTATTCTTTAAAAAATTCTGAAATCTGTAATTTCAAACCCCCAAATAGGCCTCTGCAACCCCTCATACTTGTAAGTGAGATTTGGAAAAGCCCTTCCCCTTGCTTTTTTCTGTACTTTAACTCGTGGGCAAAGCGACCTGTCCAGTCCCTTATGGGGGAACCCCCCCCCCCCCCCCCCCC